ATCCAGCTTAATGAATAATCATGAGAATGGAAGGTCAGTAGTTCGTTCATGAGATAAATTGCTTTAAATAAACATTCCCTTTTTTTTTTTTTTTTTTTTTTGAGACAGAGTCTCGCTTTGTTGCCTAGGCTAGAGTGAGTGCATGGCGTCAGCCTAGCTCACAGCAACCTCAAACTCCTGGCTCAAGCGATCTCCCTGCCTCAGCTCCCGAGTAGCTGGACTACAGGCATGAGCCACCATGCCCGCTAATTTTTTATATATATTAGTTGGCCAATTAGTTCCTTTCTATTTATAGTAGAGACGGGTCTCGCTCTTGCTCAGGCTGGTTTCCGACCTGGGAGTGAAACTTTTTAAGTTTGGCTGTGAAGGGTAGGAGAAGGAATAGAAACTATAGGGCAGTCTAAAATTAAGGTTGAACTGTTTTTATTTTATTGTATTCAGAGATGATAGAGATTACATCTTTGGTGAGAAACAACTGAGAGAGTTTAGAGATAGAGGAGAAAGAAAGGATATTAATAGTGAAGATTTTTGGAGAAGTAGGAAGCTGGGGTGGGAGCTAGAGCATGGTGGAGAAATTGGCCTAAGTTAAGAGGGAAGAAGGGAGAAAGGAAGGGTGGCTTATAGTTGGTAGGTTTCTAATCCAGAGCAGGACATTGCAGTGATTCTCATCTGATATCATTTTCTCTGTGAAGAAAGCACTATCTGTCAAACATTGAGGATAGAGCTGGAACGTTGAGAGTGAGGATTATTTGAAATAGTTATTGAACCTGCTAGGCAGTTCTGAGGGCTTTGAAGAACAAGCTATACTGAGGTACTTCAGTGTAAAATAAGAATTGTATAGAAATGAGTTCAAATCCTAGTTCTGCTATTCACTGGTTTTAAGACTGAAGCCATATTACTTAACCTATTTGCATCTTGCTTTCCTTGTTCACAAAATGGAGTGATAATATCAGTTTAATGATAATCATGAGAATGGAAGGTCAGTAGTTCGTTCATGAGATAAATTGCTTTAAAGTAAACATTCTTAAAAATCTCTTAATTTTATGTGCTATTAGGTAAAGAACAGTATAATATATTGTGCAAAAACATAACTTCTTTATAAAATAGAGTCTCAAACCATAAGAGGTATGTGAGAAATAGAGGGAACAGCAGATTCGTGCCTCCTATCACATGCTTTCTGGGGCATACTTTCATTAAGTAAAATAGCAGGTAGAATTACCTGTAGTATTTAGTATGTTATTTTTCTCTTTCTGAATCTGTTCTCTCTCTCTTTTTTTTTTTTTTACCAAGCATATATAGCTGAACATGCATAAATCAATGTGATTTCACTGTAAAGTGGAAGATTATTTACCTAGAATATCTGGGACCCAACCCATTCCAGTTTAATGATACTTCTGAAATTTAGACAACTTTGCTCCAAAAGACCACAGTGACTGAGAAAAGATTTAGTTCAGCCCCATCTTAAGGATGTAGTCTCGTAACTCTTTTTTTATTATCTTGGTGTTAAAATAGGACATATAATCTTTTTTTTGAAAGTTGGGGAGTGAGGAGGGAGTTCAGTTTTTTTTTTTTTTTTTTTTTTTTTTTTGAGACATAGTCTCACTCTGTTGCCCTGCCCTGGGTGGAGTGCAGTGCTATCATCATAGCTCATTGCAATCTGACTCCTGAGCTCAAGTAAGTGATCCTCCTGCTTCAGCCTCCCAAGTAGCTGGGACTACAAGTGTACACCACAATGCCCAGCTAATTTTTCTATTTTCCGTAGAGACAGAGTCTCACTCTTGTTCAGGCTGGTTGCAAACTCCTGAGCTCAAGTAATCCTTCTGCCCTCGGCCTCCCAGAGTGCTAGGATTATAGGTGTGAGACACTGCACCCAGCCAGGGACATAAAATCTTTATCTATATAATAATAGCAATTCAGTATTTTAAAACAATAGGTATCTCTTAAAACATATACAGTAATGACTGAGAACCATCATAAGCAATGAGGTCACCTAATGTGACTGTAGTTACAATTTGCATCGTTTTTTTTTTTGTTTTTTTTGAGACAGAGTCTCACTCTGATGCCCAGGCTAGAGTGCCGTGGCATCATCCTACCTCATAGCAACCTCAAAGTCCTGGGCTCAAGCAATCCTGCCTCAGCCTCCCAAGTAGCTGGGACTACAGGCATGCGCCACCATGCTCGGCTAATATTTTCTATATATTTTTTAGTTGACCAATTAATTTCTTTCTATTTTTTGTAGAGATGTGGTCTCGCTCTTGCTCAGGCTGGTTTCAAACTCCTGACCTCGAGCGATCCTCCCGCCTCGGCCTCCCAGAGTGCTAGGATTACAGGCGTGAGCCACCACCCCGGCCACAATTTGCATCCTTTGTCCACATTTATTGGTTTGGGCCACTGTAAGGAGGGTGACTCCCAGGCTTCTGACATCAGTAATAGACATAGGAGACCCCGAAGGGGGAGCAGGTCTGGCAGGGGAAAAAATAATAAATTAATTTTTGAGCATGTTGAATTTGAGGAGTCCGTGGTAGTTCATGCAGTGTGGAGAGGTCAGTTAAATATGCAAATCTTATGTTCCAACAAGAGATCTTGGCTAAAAATATATATTTGGAAGTCTTTAGAATATGAGGCAGGTCGCGGTGGCTCACGCCTGTAATCCTAGCACTCTGGGAGGCCGAGGCGGGCGGATTGCTCAAGGTCAGGAGTTCGAAACCAGCCTGAGCAAGAGCAGACCCTGCCTCTACTATAAATAGAAAAATTAATTGGCCAACTAATATATATAGAAAAAAAATTAGGCCGGCAGTGCGTGGCAGCCTGTAGTCCCAAACTCGGGGGCTGGGCAGAAGGATGCTTGAGCCCAGGAGTTTGAGGTGTGTTGGCTAGGCTGACGCCACGCACTCACTCTAGCCTGGGCAACAAGTGAGACTCTGTCTCAAAAGAAAAAAAGAATATGGATGTGATTGATGACATGGAGTAGATCAGAACATACAGGAGAAGCCATATAGTGAGAAACAGAGGCCCAAGAGGGTCCTGCAGACACTATTTAATAAAATGTAATGGTTTCAGCAAGAAGAGGAGCTTAGATAGAACTGAGGAGTCGCCAGGGAGTTTGGAAATCCAGGAGAGTTATGTTAAAACACAAGGAAAGAGAATGTTTCAAAAGAACTTAACTGTTGGATACTACTGAGACACTGATTAATAGGAGAACTTACAAGTGCCCATTGGTTTTGGTAACATGGAGGTCAGAGATGACCTTATGGAGCATTTTTTGGGGACCAAGCCATATTAAAGTGGATTGGGGAGTGAAACTTTTTAAGTTTGGCTGTGAAGGGTAGGAGAAGGAATAGAAACTATAGGGCAGTCTAAAATTAAGGTTGAACTGTTTTTATTTTATTGTATTCAGAGATGATAGAGATTACATCTTTGGTGAGAAACAACTGAGAGAGTTTAGAGATAGAGGAGAAAGAAAGGATAT